AGACCAGGATTGAGGCAATGCAGAAATGGCATCTACCTAGGACTCTAAGAGAGCTGAAGGGATTCCTAGGATTGACTGGGTACTACAGGAGATTTATATGGAGATACAACACCATAGCCTGGCCATTGATAGAGCAGCCGAAGAAGGATAGCTTTCTAGCAACTACCCAAGCCTTTGAGAAATTAATGAAGGCCATGACCACAATACCGATCTTGACCCTACCGGATTTCAGTCAAATTTTTGTGATAAAGATAGATGCATCAAGCTATGGATTGGGGGCAGTGCTCATATAGAATCACAGGCCAATCACTTATTACAGCCAGGTGTTGACGACCAGAGCTAGGCTGAAGTCAATCTATGAGAGGGAGCTGATGGCTATTGTGTTAGCTATTCAGAAGTAGCAACCTTATTTGTTAGGCCAACATTTCATTGTCAGGACGGACCATAGGAGCATGAAATACCCGTTGGAGCAAAAGATGATGATCGGGGAGCATCACAGGTGGATGTTAAAGTTGTTAGGATGTGACTTTGAGATCCATTATAGGGTTGAATTAGATAACAAGGTTGTTGATGCCTTGTCCAGATGCATAGGGGAGTTCCAATAGTTAGCTATGTTGATACCTCTAATACCGGATTGGAGGGCTATTAGAGAGGAGAGTGTGCATGATGAGTTGGGATGGATTAGAGCAGATCTACTTAGGGATGATAATAGTCACCCTAGCTATTCTCTAGAGGGGTAGAGATTGATGTACAAGAGGGGTTTGTATTGCCTCACACCTTCGTTCATATCACACATTTGTTACAGGAGTTTCATGGGAGCATGGTGGGGGTTCATTCTAGCATGCAAAAGACATATAGGAGATTGGCAAATGAGTTGTATTGGAAGGAGAAGCCCAAGTATGTGGAAGATATAGTGGCTAAATGTGAGGTATGCCAGCGGAACAAGCATATAGCCATGACTCCTGGGGTTTACTTCAACTCCGAACTCTACCAGACATGGTGTGGGAAGAGGTCACCATGGATTTTATAGATGGGCTACCCTGATATGATGGGTTTACAGTGATTTTGATGGAAGTTAACAGATTAAGTATGCTCATTTTATCCCCTTACGACATCCTTACATTATAGTGGCAGTAGCAGCGACATTCATTAGAGAGGTGGTCAGACTGCATAGGATATCGAAGTCTATAGTATCCGACAGAGATAAGATATTCCTCAATCATTTTTAGAATGAGCTATTCATATTGCAGGGAATAGTGCTAAAGAGGAGCACCACCTAACATGCCTAAACAGATGGGCGAACCGAAGTGATAAATAGGAGATTGGAGACATACCTACGATGTTTTGCTTTCGAGACTCCCTAGGTCATGGGCCAAGTGAAAAGCATGGGCAAAATACTGGTACAACACTTCTTATCATTCAGCATCCCAAATGACCCCTTTTAAATTGTTGTATGGGAGATAACCACCTCACTTAGGACACTTTGGGCAGGGAGTACGTTATTTTCCTCAGTAAAGCAGTATTTGGAGGAAAGGGACAGAGTGATGAATGACTTGAAAAGACACATGTTGAGGGCTCAGGAGATTATGTAGAAGCAGGCAGATGAGCGTAGGAAGAACATCTATTTTGAGGTAGGAGACAGGGTATACTTGAAATTACGGCCCAATAAACAAAGGTCGGTAGCTCACAGGAGGAATGAAAAGCTAGCCCCGAGGTATTTCAATATGTATAAGGCAGTAGAGAGGATTGGAGCAGTAGCTTATTGATTAAGGTTACCCTTGACCGCAACTATACACCCGGTATTCAACGTATCCCAATTGAGGAGAGCTATTGAGGATCATGCGGCTAGTTCAGAATTGTCGGGGACACTGACAGAGGATATAGAAGTAATGTTCGAACCACTGGAATTAAAAGGGGTATGATAGGGAGAAGGTGGATTCAAGGAAGTGCTAATAAAGTGGAAGAACCTACCTGACTATGAGGCCACCTGGGGGTCATATGAGAGTGAAGTATCAATTTTTGTATTTCCACCTTGAGAACAAAGTTAATCTTTGGGAAGGGAGTATTAATAAACCGGTCATTGGACCAGTAAAACCAATCCAACCTGGACCGGCCTTGGTCTACCAGCAGCAAAACAAAAGTTTCACCCCAATCAATGCCACCCCATTGGGGTGGGGTCCAACCGCCAAATTAATGAGAAATTAATGAGAGATTAGGAGGAAATTTTCAAATTGCGAAGCTGTTTTGGCATTAAATATATTTTGTATGCTGTAAATATATCGTTTAACCTATGGTAAGGTTTTCATCTTGTGTTTTCTGAAATTTGAAAAGTTCTTTGGATTTATTTGGGCTCTGGCAACTTCTAGAGATTTGGAAGAGCCGGATCCTCCTCTCCAATTGAGGATTCATTGTATCTTGTTATTTTCTTTCATCTATTATTAGTAAAATCTTTTCTCATTAGTATTTCACCAATTTTTTTTTAATTTCTAGTTTGAACCTAGCCAAAATTCAAATTCAGCCCAGAGAAGTCACTTTCTCTTGGAGTATTTCCTATCAATATACCAGAAGATGCTACTTTGGATGAACAAAGCTACTTACCATTAATTTCTTGAATGGTGATAACGATATAATATAAATAATAAAATGACATTTTAGCTAGCTTTATTAACAAATACAAATTTGGACATCAGTTCGATTCAGTCAGAATTCAAACCTTCTCACTTAAACAAACATGGAAACAAGAATGGTCTGGAAACTTCTGCCTTGAATAACAGGCATAGAGTTATATAAAAGTCAACCTTAAGTATTAGCAAATAAGTCATGCATGGCTGCATGAAACCAGAAAGTTGCGTGCAAAATTAATCTCCATTGTATAAAATAAATCAGGTTTACCAATATTAGCTGTCCAATAATTCCACAAATAGCCTTCTAGAGAGAATACTTGGGCTAATCAAAGCACTTTTTAATACTAAATGTGTTCAAAATTGTTAGATTGGTCCATACGGGACCAGCTCAACGTAACAAGAGGCGGAAGAGTCCGCCTCCTGTATGAGCCGCACGAGCCGCAAGATCCTCGGGAGCCAATTTGGAAGGATTTTTTAGGGAATTAGGAGGGAAATTTGAATGTAGGGACTGTTTAGATATTTACTTTTGATTGTATGCATTAAATAGTTTGTTTTCCTAGGATTAGGGCAACTTGAATTTGGTTTAAATTTGAGATCTCTTAGGTTTAGGTTTCCTTTGGGCTCTAGCGGCATCTAGAGAATTTGGGAGAGATTGATCCTCCATTTGAATTGAGGATCAACTATATCTTGCTATTTTCCATTCTATTTCATCAAATTTTCTACTGTTTTCATGGTTTTGTGTGAATTTTTGTGGAGAATTCTTGCTGTTTCCGAAGATTGATAGGAAATACTTGAGAGCTACAAGTGTTTCCTATCAAAAACATCTTATTCTATTGGATATTTCATGATATTAAAGATGTAGGAAACAACCTCTTTGCACTGTAGGAGCATACATTAACCCCTTCGCACACCCTGCATTAGCGGGAGCACCACTCAGTGGGTACACCCTACATATTTGATGCGTCTGATAATGTGAAATTTCCACTCACCAGCATTCTATGATATAAACAATTTTAAGGCAAGCTTTTAAATAATGTAACAACATTTATACACTCCCTGAAATGAATCAGCATAAAAGGAAGTAACAACAAATTCAAAAGAACAATGGCTTACACTGACAGAACGAGAGATCAAACCATTTACTCCTCACAACTGCTCATTATGTAATTCAGGTCAAAGTGAAATGATCAGAGGCAGCCTCCATTGCTGCCTCATCATCCCAAGCCTTTTGATTCAGCTATCAGAAGTGAGAAGATATCTACAGCTTGATCCTACTAGTTTTGAATCATCTAATTAATCTTACACATCTCATTGTTGTGATAACGTCAAGCTTGAAAGGAAAAAAAAATTGACTATGCTGCGCGTTGTAATGTGAAGGTATATATTATATATAAACTTGGCAAGTTTGAACAGTAGCTATATAGGATAGGTATATATTATATAATTTGAGTACCACAAACTTTAACAGATTAGAATGGATGAGAACTAACCAACGTGAAAAAGATGGAGATTTAGATATAACAATCGGACAATAATAGGATGACCCGAAACATAAATAAATTACATCTAATCTAATGATGGCTTTTATGCTGCATAAAAGAAATGCCATTCATATACCATGATAACAAGTCAGAGTAAAATTTATAAGAATGAATACCCAGAGCAGAAGACAAGAGCAAAAGAATAAGAAATCAATTTAAATTCTGAAATTAAAAGAAAAAACTATGCAAAAGAAGCTTAATATTGGCATCCTCCAATCTTAGTTGTAGCAAGATTTTTTTTTTTTTTCAAAGGAATGCATTGGGCTTGCTGTGTGATAGAAAAGTCCCCTCAAACGTAAAAAAAAAAATCTATAAGATGGTGGTGAGACCTGCAATGTTTTATGGAGCAGAATGTTGGTCATTAAAAAAGAAGCATAATATTAAGTCAAGTGTTGCAGAGATGAGGATGCTCAACTGGATTAGTGGTTTTACTCTTAGAGACATAATAGAAAACGAGCATATGCATGAAAAGGTTGGAGTAGTTCCAGTGGCAAATAAGATTAGAGAGAGTCGCCTTAGATGGTTTGGTCACATAAAACGGCAGCCTTCCGATGGCATGGTTAGGAGAGTAGATGTATTAGATTTGTCTTATGTTAAGAAAGGTAGAAGTAGACCTAAAAGTTTTAAAAATATTAGAAATGACATTTCTTTATTAGATTTAAATAAAAATTTGACTCTTAATATGACACAATGAAAAAATAATAATTCATGTAGGATAAAGGCTTGTTGTGGTTGTTGTTGTTGTTGTGAAATGCCCGCCGAGAACAAATGCAAACAAGATAAAATTATATAAGAAAGAGAACACTCACTCAATACTAATGAGAAAAAGGCCTACCTTGAAAAACCAGCAATAGCATCCTGCATGCTGTGGACTCTGTAGCACCAGCCTTGATCTTTTCTATAAGATCAAGGCACTTCCAATACAACTTCCTTCCTCTGGCATCCTCGCAGAGACGAAAAATCCTACTAACAAATTCTAATTCGCGCAGCAGCGCCTCTTGATCCCACCCAGGAGCGCAGTGCTGAAATACATCCTTCACCCAACCTAACAACTCAGAAGTCCTATTACAAGCTGGGCACCTGAAAAGCATCTCACTGTGTCCCATAATACTCTTCACAGATGGTCCCATTCCAATCTGACCAGCACGCATGGCACAGTCTGTATGAGTCCAATGCGCACAAATATCACAGCCTATCCAACGGCAGGTGTTGACCTCAAAATCAAACTTGTTGCAAACTACACACATACAAAGATTGCAGAAACCATTTCTACGAGTGCAGACCTCACATGAGCAATCATCAGCTGGAAGAGCACTCTGGCAAGCAATGTTCCTACACCTCTTGTACAAGAAAATCTCAATAAGACGACTTTGTGAAAGGCTGACATTTGGGTGCAGGAAAGCAAGAATTCCAGTGTTGATGGAAACTAGAATCTCTAACTGCACTCTATGAGCCCTCACAAGAGTTTTAGCTGTCAGGTCACCCCTACCTTGTACTAGCTTTTGGAGGCGCAAAAACTCCTCCCTATGCTGAGCTCCCCCGGTTCCTTCAAGGATAACTCTCAGCTCAGCCTTCAATTCTTCCAAAAGCTCATTAGGCGCCATGGTCATTCTATCAGAAACAATATCAAGTCTCTCACGAGCAACTTCTCGAAGAGACAGCTTATCTGCGCTAGATATTCGGCGTATGGCCTGTGGCTCAGGGAACTCACTCTCCCCCTCCTCCTTATCAGCACTCTTTATAATCACACCATTAGAGCGACCAGTTTCAATGGGCCATGTTTCCCTAGAGCTCGTGCTATCGGATGGCGAGTCATTTGCTTGGTCGGAAATCGATAATGGTTCTTGCATGTCATGGGATCCATTGGCATCAGATGAAGCAAGGGATAGGGAGGTCTGCAACCCTGAAGGCCTTGGGCGGTGGCGAGGAGGTAACATTTTGGGGGATGGTTGCTGGTGAAAATTTGCACCAGAAGAAGTGCCCATTTACCTTAGTTCTCCTAAAAAAATAATGCGAGAAACCTGCAACGAGAAAGAATGTTATGAACCAAGACCAATTCGCCAAAGCCAACACCTTTTTTCAGGGGAAAAAAAACAGTTTTGATAAAAATTCAGCATAAACCTTAAAATGAAAAACGTTTTTCAAAATTTTGGAATCAAATACCTCAAATGAAATCAATATTTCGTTTTCAAAGAAAGAGCATCAAATTCCCAACCTTTACAAACCACCGGATTCCGAAAACGCAACTACAGCCACAAACACAACATCAACTATTCCAAAAACGCAACTACAGCCACAAACACAACATCAACTAGTAATAAAGCACCGTGACACATCAAAGCGACCACAATCCATCTTAAAAAAAAAAAAAACAAATTTTGACACCAAAACTCATTCAAACAATAAATCAAAAGCAGAAAACACCAGGAAACTTCAAAAGAAATGTTTCAAAATCATCAAAATGAGGAGGATCGCCAAACAATAAATATCACATATAGCTTACCCTGGAATCCAATGGAGATAAACCGAAAAGCGGAGGAGAAAGGAGCTAGGGTTTTCGCTCCCCTCAACCTTTCTCCCTCCAGCAGGGGAACCGTGAAGCGCAGCTCGGAGCGGTAAAAAAGTCCTCACATCCATTTCCAGTCCTCTAATTCTTAAAATTTGGATAAGAAACACGGATTTGACCGGCATGCCCGGTGGCAGACCAGCTTGACCGGCTACACCATGCTGCCGCCTTCATAAGTCTTATTGCTTAAATTATTGTGAAATGATAACACGGTAATTCGGTGACTTCGGTCCAATTCAGCTCGCTGGTGTGCCGAAAGAATGACGTTAGCACATTTTTTATTTTATATTATTCAGCTTATTATTTTGACTTCGAAATTACTTTTATAACCCTATATAATATTTTTATTACGTACGAATTAGAAATAAAGGTTATAGGAAGGGACCGACCGCATCAAATTTATGTGGCAGTGAACCCCCAATTTTCAGCCTTTTTGGCATCAATTGACAATGTTTTGTCATCTTCCAATAAGTAGACATATTTTTAAAGTTTGCTCTCCAAGTTGTAAATATTTACATTATCTTATAAACAATAAAAAAATATAAGAAAAAATATATCTAAAAAATATTTTACTTGATGAGAATTAGGGCAAAAATTGAATCAATATAAATATTTGATTGATAAATAAATAAATTTGAAAAGTTTGGTCCTTATTCATTTATGATTATGGATGATGTTATTTAAAGCTTATGAAGAAGCTCTTGAAAAGTTCAATTAATGCATGATAATTTAGTTATTTAATATTTTATTTAAAGTTTATTGAATATGTGACTATGTGAAAATGCTTTTTTTTTCTATATTGTATTGATTTAGTTTATAAGCACAAGTTACATGTTTATTCAAATGCTTGTTTTTTAGTTTTCATTTAATTAAAGTCTCATTTTTAAGCTCAATGAGTTCTATGTCAAATATCCTCGATAAGATTTGTTCAAATAACTAACAAACTGCTTGACGATTTTATTTTTTAATAGAGTTGTTTGGTTAGTAATTGTTTCGAGCTCTAACATCCATAATTTTGAGCACAAAATGTGAAGAATTCTATAATTTTTCTTAACAATCACGAATTTTTCTTAACAATCACGCTAGCGATCATTATTGGCCGTCCATTGTCACTCGACTATCATCATTTGATGATCGCCTCTTAACATTCATTATTCATTAATGAAATTAACATTCTTCGACTAACGTCAGACTTTTGATTGTCATCATTACTCTTCATTGCTTCTCCAACATTCTCTAGTTACATCCACAAGAAGCTAAGCTATTCATTTTGTAATCCTGTCTTTTTGCAATTGATGGAAGAGCTAACTTATGTAATCTTTGTTTACAAAGTGGATTATTTCATCGTAACCAAGCCTAGTGATTTTTCCATTCTCTGATTTTAAATAAAAATACTCTGATGTCTTTTATGAACATTTCTTATATTTGTGTGCGGATATCTTTATGTAATACTAAGACAAAATATTCTCACTTCATCGTCACAAATTTTTCTACATATAACAATTATATAGCACCGCTTAACAAATACTTGTTATAAAAATAATATGGAAAACTCTAATTGAGCTCCAAATGGAAGACACACTTAAGAGAAATCATTTTCTTGCTTTCACCAAGTTTTGAATAAATTTTTATCATCTTCATTCCTCGTAATGAATAACTTTGAAACTTTTGAAGAATTCACCTAACAAGATAGTCGAGTATCATTATAAAACTAGAGGATTTCCCTAATCAGCTTATGATTGAGCATGCTTTGACTGAGTCACCTACAACTCAATTCTTTAATTATAGTGATCAAATCCTACTTAGGCAACATTTTCGAATACATGTGGCTTGTGAAACCCATTAAGTTAAAAAAAAAAAACTAAACACTTAAATATCGAGACACCTTTTGGTGTAATAGTCAGAATTTCATTATTCTTTGCAGTAAAGCGTTCTCATTCCTAAGAAATTATGGGATGGGTGAGCTCTTGGGAAGTAACACCAATAGGACAAAACAGTAAAGCCCTTAGGTCAAAGCGGATAATATCTCAATAGTTAAGAGTTTTGCTTGTTATAAATGGTATTAGAAAAGTATATCAGCCGAAAGATCGAAACTAAATGTTATAACAAGATAAAGTGCTACGTTATGTGAGCCACCTCTTGAACCGTGTATGGGATAAAGTACTATATGGAGAGAGTCATCACTTGAACTTATAGGGGCTACCTCTAGAATTTTATCTGTTTGGTAAATGATTATGGGATAAAGATACTAACGATGACATCGATTTCTTAAGTGGAGAACATTGTGAAACCCCTTAAGTAAAAGAAGTTAAACTCTTAAACATCAATGCTCCTTTTGATATAATGATTGAAATTTCATTAAGAAACTTCACAATTAAGTGTGATCATCACAAAAAATCCTAGAATGAGTGACCTCCTATGAAGTTACACCAACAAATAAAAATCGTGAGGTCCTTATGCCAAAGCGGATAATATCTCGATTGTTAAGAGTTTGGGTTGTTATAAATGAATTGTGAAATCCCTTAATTAAAAGAAAATAAACTCTAAAACATGGAGTGTAATGACCAAAATTTTAAAAAGAAACTCCACATTTAAGTATGCTCATCCCGTATAAATAATGTGATGGGTGACCTCCTAAGAAGTTACACCAATAAGATAAACCGTAAGGCCCTTAGGCCAATGTAGATAAAATCTTGATAGTTAAGAGTTTTAGCCGTTACAAATGGTATTAAAGTAATACACAAGCGGGAAGATGAAAATTAAGTGACATACAAGATAAATTACTATACCATGAGAGCCACCTCTTGAACCACATATGGGATAAAGTGCTACGTAGTGAATGTCACCACTTAAACTTTTAGGGGCAACCTCTAGAATTGTATATTCCTAGTGAATGATTCTAGAATAAGGATACTGATGAGGACGTCAGTTATTGTGAAACCTCCTAGTTCAGCATCTGGATTGACTTGTTCTAACCAGATTGGAAAATAAACCACTATAAGAGGATTTGGGAAGAAAAAAGATGATTTTTAGCTGCTTCGGGGCATTTTTAGTCATCAGCCTAGTTCAGAAAGTTATACAGATCGAGATAGGTCACCTTACTCCTATCTCAATTTTCAAAAATATAAAACTTTTATCTAAATTTTTTATTAAATTTCTATTTTTATTAGCGAAAAACTCGAATAATTTTGCACTGGTAAAAATTTCGCTACTTAACTTTTTATATGTTATATAGAGATTATAAATGTTTAATTAAGTATTTTTTTAAAAATTTCACAAGGGGAGTATAAAAATTTATATGATTTTTATTGAATAAAAAATTATCATAATGTTAAAAAATAGTGATATAGTACAATAAAAGTCTTAAACTATTATTTTGCATAATTTCTAATAATTTGATTATGTTTTAAAAATATAAATTTTTGCCTAGTAGGGCTTTTTGTTGCCTACAATTAGAGAAAACTATGTAATTTTAACACATGCTCAATTATGCATTACCTGTTATAATATGACAAAAAAAATATGCATATGTGATTAAATAATATCTACTAGGAGTCATAAGGAGCCAAAAATTATTTGATTATATTAGTGTTAAGGAATATTTTGGTGCCAATAAAGTATATTCTAGTGGCTATAAGTCATGCACTAGTGTCTACGAGCATGTTCTGGTGCTATAAGTACAAAAGAGACTTATAAGGGGCCAGAATCCTTTAAGATTTTGTATGAATATGAAAAATATAATATGAATTGCTTTATGATATAAATTATAATTTATTTATTTTCTCGATAATTTTATTTAAATAATTGAATCATTGATATACTCTTATTATATTTCTTATTAGATTGATATATTAGGTTGCATTTAACTATTTTAAATATTTCAGTAAAATATTTAAGAAAGAATTTATAAATTTAAATAGATCGATTTGCATGATCTGTTGAGTTGTTGTAGCTCACTATAATTTTGATTTTAGTTTTCAAGATTTGGGAAAGGAAAGGAGAATGTTAATTAGCAATTCAAGACAAGATTTGAGTTTATAAGTATTTCTATTTTAATTTTTGTATATTCATGGCAGTTTATTCCTTAGTTACGTTATGTAACTTCTACACTTAGGCATGTATTATTATATAGATATATTTTGATGCAATGAAATATTATGGATGAGTTTATTTTTAGTATATGGATGTTTAGTAGCACTATAGTCGATAGTTTATTTAAAATAAATATTGAAAGAGAATATAAAATATTCTAAAATTAGATCTTAAGAATTACATGTCACAACTCAACATAATAGGGTCTATCCTTGTTAGGTTAGGTTGTGGCAAGCTTTTGTGGCATCAGAGCAATAGCTTTGAAATGGATCGTAAAACAAGGATGTAGGAATTAATCTAAATGACAAGTGGGATAATTTTAAGTATGTTTGGGTCTTTTATTGTTTCTTTCATGTACATCTATGTTTGGTTATATATTATGTATGATTATGGATCTTCCAGACCTATATATAACAAAAGGGCAGAGTGGCAGTCAGGCAGCTCCTTATATAATATTGCTTTGACAATGGATTCTAATACAATTTTATAGTTAGTTAGTTTGATAACCCATATAATGGGTAAGATAGAGCAGGGTTCCTTCTGTGAGATTTGGTGAGAAAGATAGGCATATACAAAATATTTTTTAGATTTAAGTCTTTGAGGTTTGAGGGTGTTTTTGAGCCCATAGTAACAAAGGACTGATTGATGAGGCTAAAAAGGATATTTGATAGTATGTAGTATCCTCCTAATAGAAAGGTAATATTAGCATTATTTTGTTAAATAACGAGGCAAAGTGCTGATGGGTGGACTAGCATAAGAAAAATTTTCGAGGGAGATTGAATTCTTTGATTACCTGGGAGTTCTCTGATGTGTTTCAAGCTTGATTTGTTATACCTTCTACATGACAATAGATGTAAGAGACTTTTCTAAGGCTAGTTCAAGGAGCATGATAGTTATGCAATATGAGATATAGTTCACTACTTTGGCTAAATATGCTCCATAATTAGTTAGCGCTCTCACGGAGAAGTGTTATAGGTTTTTGAGAGGACTTCAGAATATTCTAAGACAGTGTCTGTTGCCATTTCATATTTTTGATTAATCTGAGCTGGTGGAGATAGCTCATCTGATAGAGAATGATCTGATGACTACTCAGCA